CCCCCCCGCGGCGCCAGTGGACGAAACCAAGTGTGAGGGGAGGTCCGAGAGGCTCGCGCGCAGGGGGCACCGGCTCCTCCCGCAGCCACGCGCCACTGCGGCCTGCGGTCACCCCTCCTGCGGCGCCGCAATATGGCCCGGCCCGGGGCGAGGGGGCGGGGACTCGAACTTGAAGACTCGGCCTTTGAGTTGAAGGCGGGAAAATGGCGGAGTCCTCGGGGCGCGCCGCAGGGTGAGTGGAGGCGCCGAGGGTCTGGATTTTGTGGGTGTCGGCAGGAAGGCCATGGCCGAGGGCTGGGGGCGGAGGGGCAGCAGGGTTGAAAAACCGGGGGGACGGAGGGGTGAACCCAGACCTGATCCCTCTAGAAACCGCAAGATCTATGTGAGAATGCGCAAGATCTGGAAGGCCCCGGGGGTGCGGCCTCTGCGCATGCTCGGAGCGGGGGGCGCTGAATGAGACCGCGAATTATATACAATAGTTAAGGTCCGCGGGGTCCCAGGTCCAATAGTACCAGGTCCACCGCTTTGATTCGGGGCCATCTAGAACAAACGACTTAACCTCTCTGCCTCTCCTCCGCTGCGAAATGGGGCTGATGATCTCGCCGCTCCACCTGTAGGCCCTCTGTGAGGCTTCAAAGCGCTTAGAACAGTACCTGGCCTGTAAATGTGATCTGTCGCTGTTAGAATGATCATTTTGTAGTGGACAAGTGCTGGGCCACTAAAGTATCTCCTTTAATCCAGCCACCTGTCTTTTTCTATGCTTCCCATTTACAGATGAGGTGATGGAGGCTCAGGGAGGGAAGGCCATTTGCCCAGAGTCACACAGCAAGAATAAGACAGACGTGGAACACTTACCCAGTGCCAAGCATGATTTCCAGAACTGTGTTTTCTCTTATTTGTTCATTCGGCCAATGCTTATTGTGCCATTGTGAATGAAAATTAAAAAGGCCAGCTGAAATCACTTGTTTCCTCCACAGCCCTTTGCCCTGTGAGATTGACATTAGCTTTTCCTAGGTACAGTACCGGGGAGGTACCAGAGGCTGGCACAGGTGTAATGACCCCCAATCCCCACCCCAGGTACCTGCAGGTTTGGCCTGAGCCCATTCCATTTGGTTCCAGAGCCCTGGTTTAGACCCCAGAGGGAACCTTTGCTCTGTCCCTTTCTAGCTCTGAGACTCACTAGGGGTGACCTGTTTAAGCTTTGCGTCCTTGTCTGGAAAACGGGGATAAAGCAGGCCAACAGTTATGCATGCATGTATTTGTAGGGTTAGAGGTGCCCCCCAGCGTGGCTTGGGTCTCACTTTGGGGTCCTTGAAGCCAGCCACACAGGCAGTGGTTACAGGGAACTGAGCAAGGTGACCACCACTGCTGTGACTAGTGGAGCCTGTCTTGTGACATTACCAGGAGTCACAGCACCTAGGCCTCAGCTTGGCCTTTCAACCCGCTCTTTCTTCATGGCTGGTCTCTGTTCCTGATGTCCCCTCCTCTTCTGGCTTCCCCAGACTGGAAACCTGGGAGGCATTCCAGACCCTGCTGCATCCTCCAGCCTGATTCCTGCCCCACTGTACCCTCTCACCTATTATGTCATGCTTCGTTCTTTTTTAAAACTGAGGTGAAATGCCCAGGACTGCACATTAATCTTTGTAAAGTGAGCAATTCCATGGCGTGAAGACATTCACAATGTCGTGCAACCATCTCTGTGGAGTTCTAGAACATTTTCTTCAGCCCAGAAGGAAAGTATCCATTTACAGTCACTTCCCATTCTTCATCCACCCCAGCCTGCTCCTGGCAACCACCAATCTGCTTTCTGTCACTATGAATTGCCTGTTCTGCACATTTCATATAAATGGAATCATACACTATATGGCCTTCTGTGTCTCACTTCTTTTTTTTTTTTTTGTAGAGGGCAGTGTCACCGGCCCTCATATGTGGGATCCGAACCGGGGCCCTCTGGCGTCCCAAGCCAGCTCTTAACCATCGCGCCACTCGGCTGGCCCTGTGTCTCGCTTCTTTCACTCAGCATATCATGTTTTGGAGGTTCATTGTTTTAGCATGCATCAGCGCTTCATTCCTTTTTAGGACCAAATAATATTCAGGCTTTGTTATTTTTTTATTTTTTTTTTAAATTGAGATGTAATTGACGTATAACATTAGTTTCAGGTGTACAACACAGAGATTTAATATTTGTGTATATTATGAAATAACACAACAATAAGTCTCAATAAGCCTAGTTAACATCTGTCACCAGATAAATTATTTTTCTTGTGATGAGAACTTTTAAAATTTACTCTCTTAGCAACTTTCAAATATGCAATATAGTGTTGTTACCTATGGTCACCATGCTGTCTGTGTATTATGTCCCCATGACTTCTTTATTTTAAAATTGGAAGTTTGACCCCCTTTACCGATTTCACACCCTATCCCTGCCTCTGGTAACCACGAATCTGTTTATCTATGAGTTCAGTGTTTTGTTTTGAGAGTCCACATATACGTGAGGTTATTACAGTATTGTCTTTCTTGGTCTGACTTTATCTCAGCATAATGCCCTCAGGGTCCATCCATGTTGTTGCAGATGGCAAGATTTCCTTCTTTTTGATGGCTGAGTGGTATTCCATTATATATATCTCACATTTTCTTTATCCATTCATCCATCGATGGACACCTAGGTTGTTTCCATGTCTTGTTTTCCATGTCTTGGCTATTGTAAATAATGCTGCAGTGAACATGGGGGTGCAGGTACCTTTTAGAGTTGGTATTTTCATTTGCTTTGGGTAAATACCCTGAAGTGGAATTGCTGGATCATGTGGTAGTTCTATTTTTAGTTTTTTTGAGGAACCTCCAAACTGTTTTCCATAGTGGCTGCAGCAATTTACATTCCTACCAACAGGGCACAAAGGATCCAACTTCTCCACATCCTTGCCAACACTTGTTATTTCTTGTCTTTTTGATAATAGCTATTCTAACAGGTGTGGGGTGATGTCTCATTGCATATCCATAATGCTTTTTCATTTTAGATAGGAGTTCTGCAACAGCGTTCCAAGTTCTGTATGTCTTAAGTCCCATACTCCTGATCACCCGTTTATCAGGCCAGGGGCTTTCAACCTTGACAGTAGACATCTGGGGCTGGATTATCTATGTGATGGGGGCCGTCCTGTGTATCTTAGGGCAGCATCTCTGCCCTTGATTCACTATGTCGATAGCATCCACCTCTGTTGTGACAGTCACAGATGTCTTCAAATATTGCCAAATGTCTTGGAGTGAAAATTGCCCTCGAGTGAGTACCCCTAAGTTATTTGTATGACAAATATTTATCCAGTGCCTCCTATCTGCCAGGCTGTTATGAACTGAATGTTTGTGGTTACCCTGTCCCTCCAAATTCATATGTTGAAGCCCTAAGCCCCCATTGGCTGTATTTGGGGATGTAACCTCTATGGAAGTAATTAAGGTTAAGTGAGGTCATAAGGGTGGGACCCTGATCCGAAAGGATTGGTGTCCTTATAAGAAGTGACACCAGAGAGCTTGCTTGCATGTTCTAGCCCTGCCCACTCACCCTCTTCTCATCTCCCTGTGGCCACCTGCCTTGCCCGCACCTTAATCTTGGACTTCCAGCCTTTAGAACAGCGGTTCTCAACCTTCCTAATGCTGCGACCCCTTAATAACAGTTCCTCATGTTGTGGTGACCCCCAACCATAAAATTATTTTCGTTGCTACTCTATAACTGTAATTTTGCTACTGCTATGAATCGTAATGTAAATATCTTTTTGTTTTCCGGTGGTCTTAGGCGACCCCTGTGAAAGGGTCGTTCGACCCCCAAAGGGGTCGCGACCCACAGGTTGAGAACCGCTGCTTTAGAACTATGAGAAATAAATGTCTGTTGTGTCTTACATTTTGTGATGGTAGTTTGAGCAGATGCATACATAGGAACTGGGGGATCTTGAGGAGCACACCTGGTCCCTGTGCTTCTAGAACCTTAGAGCCTGTCTTCCTCCCAGCTGCCAGTGGTCTTCATGAAACACAGCTTGACAGTGTTCATTCCTAGGGCCTAAGGGTGAAAGCCCGAATGCCCCCTTTTTTGTAAGGCTGGTGAGCTGAAAATGGTTTGTACATTCTTAAATGGTTGTTAAAAAAAAATCAGTAGAAGAATGTTTCAGGACACATGAAAATTGTATGAAATTCAAATGTCACTGTGTGTAAATAAAGTTTTATTGGAACATAGCCATACCCATTTCTTTTTGCATCATCCATGGTTGCTTTGTGCTACAATGGCAAGGTTGAGTAGTCATTGTGAGCACATGACCCACAGAGCTGAGAATATTTACTGTCTGGCCTTTTACAGTGAAAGGTTGCTGACCTCTGGGCTATGGGACCAAGTCTGAGCCCTTAAGTTTGGCATTCAGAACTGCCAGCCCGGCCCAGTGTTCTCTCCTCCTGATCCCGTTTCCTTGTCCTTGTTCTCCAGCTAAGCCACAGGGCCGATCACTTCCTATTTTTACAGCATTCTCCTCAGTCCCCATGCCCTTGGCCTTGTTGATCCCTGTCTTAGAATGTCCTCTCCTGTGTACCTGAGCAGAAGGTGCTTTGTTGCTTGCCTGCCCCCGACCTTTCCAGGCTGCCCTTCACACTTGTCAGACAGGAAAATGCTGCTCCTCCTTCTCACGGAAGGAGCTCTGTGCCTCGTTTACTGTGTATCCATCCCCTTGGCAAACTGCAGGCACATAACCACCTGCTGAATTGATGAACCTGTAACTTAAGTTGAGATCTTTGAGGCTTGGCAAAAATGCTGGCTTTTTTCACGCTGGGCCTTTCTTAGTTCAGGCATTGGGTTATTCTTTGTCACCCTGGGTGACAGGGCTCCATGTTCCTCTTCCTGTTGAGGTGGCCCAGCTTTGCAGAGATCAGAAACCCTGGCTCCTCACTGGCTTCCCTCAGCTTCTTGTCATCTACATTAACAAGACCCCCTCTCTCTTTTAGGAAGCCTTCCATGGGAGGTCCCAGTACTCCTAGTGGCGCTAAGCCGAAAGGAAGAAGAATACAAGGTGAGTCAAGTTAGAATCTACCTCATGATCCGGTGAAGTAAAAAGTGATTTTTGTTTCCCAGTAAGTCCTTTTGGGGGGAGAAAAAACCCAGAGCGGAGCAGGGAAACTGATTTTACCTTCTGGTCACACCTTGGGGGATTTCAAGTCTGGTCACCCAGCCCTGCCTGCAGCCAATGGTGCTGCAGGGCCTGGTGGGGGTCATCTAGGGCAGTGGGCCCTTCCAGCCATGGGGGTCACAGGCTACGCCCAGCACTCGTCACTTGGAAGTGTGGGTGAGGAGGGCATGAACTGAGTTCATTATCAAACATCTAAGTTTCCTAAGTCTCCTCTCTGTAAGCACATCAGTCCTTTGGGGATGCCCCCATGCCCTGTGTCCACCTGAGAGTCTGGCGTCACTGTGAACAGCCCACCTTGACTCTTGGCAGTCCCCAGTTTGGGCAGCAGACTCGAGGATCTCCTGCAGTAGAGCTCAAGCCTCTGAAACGAAGAATTTTCTTAAAATGTGCCAGTGTGCGTCTCCAAGAACTTAGAGCAGGATCTTGTTTGTAGCATCTCTTCTATTTACATGTGGTCTGGTTCTTGAACACAAATTATGTCCTTCACTATAACATTGCCTCTGTGAAAAACCCACCACCATTTAAAACAAACAGGTGCATTCTAGTTTTCTGGAAACTTGAAACTGCTTTTCAACTGTCCAAGGAACCCAGAGCCTCAGATCCTTCCTAGATGTGCAACACCCTTTGCTGAGGACATTAGAAACGCCCAGTATAGGATGATCTCCCCCTGCTTGGAACCGAGGGTGCCTTTCGCCCCAATCCCTCACTTGACACCCAGCGGCAGATTCTTAGGGCAGCTTGATTCTCTCCCTTTGGCCCTGCCTGGTCCTGGCCTTGACTCTAGGTACCTCCCACCTAATTGCCTGAGCCCACTCTCCCTATAGTCAGAACTCTTTCCTGCCTGGGGCACACTCAGGGCGATCACTGCTTCCGTGGCCCAAGCCAAGCTCCCCATTAACTGTGGGTATGCCTCCTTTCCTCTCGGTGGCAACTGCAACCCGAATCTCCAATGGAAGATGCAAATCCTAGTGTGAAGACACAGTTGAAATCACAGTCTTGCTCAACCGAACTGCTGAGCTATGTGACATTGATCAAGTCACTCTCCCTGGGTCTCTTTAATAAAAAGGGAGGCCCTGAAGCACCTAGAAAAAGTGCAGAGTCGTGCATTTGATGCATTGTTCAGCACCTACTCCCTGAAGGGTGGTGTAATGTAGCAGCAAGCCAAACAGACAGAAACCCCTGCCCTCAGGGAGTTGGCTGTCTGGGACACAGGTGGTACAACTAGTGGAGAAGCAAGGAGACCCAGGGTGTGGAGGAAGATGACAGGTGCTGTGGATAAAACAGCAGGACGGGGGTAGCTCCTGGGTTTGAGGGATGTGCTAGGCTGAGCAGAGTTGGGAAGGAGGGCAAGTGTGGGAGCTGTCCGCTGGTTGGAGAACAGCAAAGGGGGTCATGGTCATGGGAATGGAGTGAAGTGATCAGGGTGAGAAGGTGAAGAGGTCAGAGGGATGCCCTGAATTGTGGTGCCAGACCTGCAAGGTGCCTAGAGGCGCTGAGGCTTCACCAGCTGGTGGACCTGCAATACAGCTTGTCAGCCTCTAGGGGGGCAGCCAGCCTGGACGCCCGCTGGGTGTTCCAAGAGGAGGGGGCGGGCTGTGCTGTGGCCAGCGCTGCTAATGGCTCAGGACGGGAACTGAGAATGGCTGATGGGCTTTGGAGCAGGGAGGTCTGTCTCGGTGGCCTTGCTCAAATGAGTTTCTTCTGTGCGGTGGTGGGTGTGAGAGCCAGGCGGGAGGGAAGGAGGGACGGATCAAGGGAAGAGGGAGGAGAGGAGGAGGAACCAGCATTGTAAAGGGAAGCAGAGAAGTGGGGGTGAGTCCAGGGGCTTGCGGGTGGAGTTAACAGTGTCACCATTGGAGAGAGGAGCAGGGGTGGTATGGAAAGGGGTGGCCGTGGCAGTTTCCTTATGGGATGAGGGCTGGGCTCTCACACACAGAGGCAGGGCCAGGTTATAGCTCTGAGGTCGGGAGGCGTCTGGGTGCCAGGGAAGGAGGAGCTCCTGGGGCCACTGCTGTCTTCCCAGTGAAGTAGGAGACAGGTCCCCAGCTGACCAGAGGAATGGGCCCAGAGGAAAGGTACAAGGGAGAGTCCGGGAGAGGGGGTGCGGGACAGATCAGAGGACTGTGGGTGATCACTGGGCAGCAAGAGCCCCTGGAGGTTGAGAGGACAGGTGGGGTTTCCTCCATCCACATTCAGTGCCCCGTGGGCAGGTGTGGAAGGGGACCTGGGGCTGGGCTGTCATAAGGAATACGCTGTGCCTGAGAGGGCCCTTGGTGCTGACCATGTCCAGGGGAGGGGTCCTGAGCTAGGAGAGGTGGGATGAGGGGATGTGAAAGGCAGTACCATCGGTGGGTCAAAGACATTGGGAGAAGGGGCAGTCAAGGTCACGACCATGAGGAAGGAGTGAGCTGGGGAGGGAGGAGGAGGCAAATAGGTGGCCCTCTGTGGAAGGTTTTTCTTCCTTTTCCTACCTGGCCCTAGTCCCCTTTCTGCTTTGATCTTCGGAGCATAGTCCTTGGTCTTCCTTAATCATAGCTCCTGTAGATTTCTGTGGCTCCACTCTGAGCCCAGGGACTTGTATACATTAGGTGTCCCATACATGTTTTTGCATACAGTAGGTGTTCCAACATGTTCTTGCATATAGTAGGTGTCCTGTTAAGTGTTCTTGCACAGAGTAAGTGTTCCAACATATATATTCTTCCATACAGTAGATGTCCCATAAATATTCTTGCACACAGTAGGTATCCCATATATACTCAAGGATGCTGAAGGACAGGATCTGAGAAGAGCAAGGGGCAGTAGCTCCCTTGTTCCTGCCATTGAGCAGGGAGGGCTTATAGCACCCAGCTCTCGGGGAGGGGATGTGGGTCCTCAGTCCTTGGTGGGTCTTCACACACCCCAGTTGTAGTTTTGTTATAAACGGACGGTATGTCCCCCACAGGTGGAAAAGTGGTCGAGTCCCGATACCTGCAGTATGAGAAGAAAAACACCAAAAAGGTAACACATAATGTATATTTGAAACAGTTCTGATGAACTTGGAATTCTGACACAGGTCTTGAGAGTTGGGCACAGCCTGCTCCCAAAAGGCAGCGTTTAGGGCACTTTGCCCAGTTGCATTTGAGGTCGTTAACGTCCCTCATGCCGAGTCTTGTGTGTCTGTCGCGAGTGGCTAATCACTTTGAGAATCCTTTTTGCAAAGCCATGATCTCTGTTGATACTTAAAATTGTTGCTGCCTTTTGATCCAAAATTTTTTTTTCTGGATTCTGTCCTGAAACAGTTCTAGCGAGTGCCCAGCACACACTCCCTGGTCTTGGCTGGTCTTTAAAAAACACCTGCAGGGTTTTAGAGAACTACTGTGGGAAGAACAATGTGCTTGAGTCACCCAGTATTAGAGGAAGAGTTTCATGAACCACTTGTAGCCACACCATGAAAATTATTAAACCATTGAAAATGTTGGCATGAAACACTTAACATGAGACTGTGCTTTGTGTGATGCTAATGAAAGCAGTCCGTCCATAACCCAATTATGTATTTTATTTCAGTGTGTATGGACTGAGAATGTGAGGTGAAGGTCGTGTTATCCCTCTCTTTTCCAAATCATTGTTTATGGTAAAACTTAAATATTCATTTCCACTATCTTTTTTAGGGAGAATGGCAGGTTCTTAAAAACATGACTTAAGATCTGGCCTGAAGAAAAAAGATAGCTTTGTACAAACTGTTTGATATGCTTCTTGGTGTGATTTTCTTAAAAAGACTTTATTTTTTTAGAGCAGTTTTAGGTTCACAGCAAAATCGAGCAGGAGATACAGAGATTTCCCATAGACCCCCACCCTGCATACATGCAAAGATAGCCTCCCCACTAGCAACATCCCACATCAGAGTGGTGCATATTTACAATCAATGAACCTACGTCGACACCTCATCACCCAGAATCGGTGGTTTACAGTATTAAAGTGATTTTCAACAAAGGATCACAGTCTACACTTCATAATTTTAACGTTGCCTTGCAAACTTGGTTACAGTGCCCCCATGTGTCTACATGCTGTATGTAGTATTTTGTATCTTTTTGAGAGCTTCTCTTTTCATCTTTAAGGGATAGTAAGTCCGCACTTCATGCCATCAATAGGTTCTTGGAACTGTGGTGAAATGATGTATAATGAAACCAGTTTTACCATAGGCTAATTAATAATAAAGGAGAGTTAAGTTCCTATGGCATCTGATCAACATTATAACAAAGTGTTATTTGAGGACCTGCTGTATAATTTACTTAGAGTAAATGTCATTCTTTTCAGCATCCAGTTCTGTGAGTTTTGACAAAGGCATCCAATCATGGACTCACCACAATCAAGATATAGAACAATCTGTCACCCCTCAAACCCCCCTGTGCTCAGATGGAGCCAGCCCCTCCCCACTCCAGACAACCCTGATCTGTTTTCTGTCCCCATCTGTAGCTTTGCCTTTCCCAGAAGGTCATTTAAAAGGTGTCGGGTTGCAGCATCTTGTATCTGCCTTCTTTCACATAAAGTGCATTGGAGATTCCTCCCTGTCACTGCCTGTAACAGTGTTGGTTCCTTCTGATGGCTGAAGACTATGCCACTGTGTGGGTGGCCCATAGTTTGCTCAGCTGGTGAAGGACATTTGGTTTGTCTCATTTGGGGCGATTTTGAACAAAGCCACCTTAAACATTCCTGTGTAGGATTCTGTGTGGATGTATTCATATTTCTGCCAGGAGGGAAATTACTGGGTTATATGTTTGACTCTGAGAAACTGCCTGACTGCTATCTAAAGTGGCTGCACCTTTTTGCATTCCCAGCTGCCACTGAGAATTCCCATCAGTACTTTAAGATTGAAGCCATATTAGTGGGTGTGAAGTGGGATCTCACTGTGGTTTTAATTGCATTTCCATAAAAACTGATAACATTGAACATCTTTTCATGTGCTTTTTGGCCATTCCTATCTTTGGTGATATGTCCATTCAAATCTTTGGCCCATTTTTTAATTGGGTTGTTTGTTTTCTTACTATTGAGTTTTGAGAGCTCTCTATATCTTGGATGCCAGCCCTGTATAGTGATTTGCAAATATTTTCTCCCAGTGTATGGCTTATCTTTTGTGTTTTCATTCTCTTAAGTGTCTTGTAAAGAGCAGAAGTTCTTGATTTTGATGAAATCCAACTTACTGATTTCTGCTTTTATGAATTGTGCTTTTGGTGTCTTATCTAAGAAATCTTTGCCTCACCCAAGACCAAAACGATTATCTCCCATGTTTTCTTCTAGGAGTTTTATAGTTTTAGGTTTTACGTTAATGTCTATGGTCCATTTTGAATTAATTGTTGTGTCTTCTGTGATGATGGAATTGAAGTTCATTTTTAAGTACATGGATGTTCTTTTGTTCTAGTACCATTTGTTGAAATGACTTTCCTTTCCCCCTTGTATTGTCTCATCACCAATGTCAAAAGCCAATTGTCTGTATATGTATGCATCATTTCTGGACTCTGTTCTTTTTCGTTGTTCTACATGTCTATCCTTAGGCCAGGTCCTTGCTGCTGAGATTATTGTTAGCTTTGTAGCAAGTTTTGAAATCAGGTAGTATGAATTCTCTTACTTTGTTCTTTTCCAAAACTACTTGACTCCTAGTTCCTTTGCCTTTCCATATAAATTTTAGATTTAGCTTGCCATTTTCTACCAAATCTCCTGCTGGGATTTTGCTTACATTGCATGTATGCATTAGGTTAGGGAGAACAGTATCTTAGAAACAGCAAATCTTTAAATCCATGAACATGGGGTACCTCTTCATTTATTTAGGTTTTCTTGGATTTCTTTCAACCATGTTTTGTAGTTTCCAGTGCACAGACCTTCCCCATGTTTTGTTAGGTTTATACCTAAGTATTTGGGGGTTTTTAGTGCTACATGGTACTCTCTTAATTTCAATTTCCAAAGTTATTCATTGCTAGAAATATCGATTTTTAAAAAATATGATTGATTTTTTAAAAAAAATCAACCCTCTATTATACAACCTTGCTAAACTTACTAATTTTAATAGCGTTTTTAAATATGTTTTAGAATTTTCGACATGAAGAATCGCGTCTGCAAGAAGAGAGTTTTATTTCCTTTCCTACCTGTTTGCCTTTTATTTCTTATTCTAGGACCTCCAGTACAAGGTTGAATAGGAGTGGTCTCTACATTGAAATATTCTCACTCTTAACAAGGTTTTCTTTTTTCTTATATATTATTGTTTTATAATGGCTTGCTCTCTCAATGGCTTGCTTGCTTTTCTTGTAAGTTGTGAAGATGAATACTTGCACAAAAACTTTGTTTTTCCTGACGACCAAAGTAATATTCTCTCTATAAAACTGGCAAATACTAAAATGTATGCAGAAGATCAGTCATCTGTAATCTGCCATGTCAAATAATCACTGGCAAACATTTTGGTGGTTTCCTATGTTCTGTGCACGTGAGGGTATCCTTTTTGACAAAATTAGTTTGTCCTGTACATACGCAGTTAAATGTCAGAACTCCTTAAGTCTATCCCTCTCTCAAAGTGAGAGCAGATGCAAACTGTGCAGACCGCGAAGGGGCCCCTTCTCACGAAGGGGAGGTGTCTTGTTCCCTAAATGTCACGTATTCCCTAACAGGCTCTTGGAACAGATGCTTTGAAGACCAGTGGGAAGATGCCTGAAAGTGGAAGGAAACCCAGCTCACTCCAGAAGAGCAAAGGTACGTAATGATGGAGGGAGGGCGCGAAATGGCTGTGGAGCTCAGGAAGTGATGAGCGTCGTGGTGAATTGTGTTTGCAAGTGTGCTAAGTTAAAACTACCTCTTTTCTTTCTGGGAAGCGTCAGAAGAAAGAGCTGGGCCAAGAGTTTCAGTGTAAGGACAGCCTTGGGGGATGGTGGGGTAGTGGGGGAAGTCACTTCCTTCCTATGTGGCCCTTGAGAAGAGCTGAGTTGCCATCATGGCTCCCCCTTGTGACACCAGTTCCTTGATCACATGATTGTTTCCTGCCGGCCCTCTCAGATCAGGACTCTCAGAGAAGGCATGAGGCCTCATCCTCCTGCCTCTCACTGCCTTGGGTTGTGTCTTACTTGTAATGGCCTCCCCATATCCTTCTGGAAGCTGTCACCAAAGTGATCTGAAAAACTTTCATTTTTTTCTGATTGTAGCTATGACATGTGTTCAGTATAAAAAAATGGAAAATGTAGACCAAAAGAGGGAAGCTCCCTCACAATCTGGCACTCAGACCATCACTGTTGACATATTTGGTGTTTGGTTTTAGTCAGTGTGCTTATCTAGAAGTCTGGGAACGCCCCTCTCACCGTAGCACTTTGTCTAGATCCTCATGTGCCTGCCTCTCCAGCAAGAGTTGGCAGCTCTGGGCCGGCTGAGTGGCTCAGTTGGTTAAGAGCTCGCTCAAAGGTTTGAGCTCTGAGTAACAGCGGTTCGAGTCCAGCCCAAGCTGAGCTGCCGCTGAGCTGCCAACAGGTGGCAGGATGGCTCAGCTAAGAAAAAAAAAAAAAGAGTTGGCAGCTCTTTTTTTGCATGAGAGCCGTTCACAAAAAGCAAAACTTTCTAGGCCCTCACTCCCTTGCTCAAAATGGTGACAGCTTTGAGTCTCATAGGAAAAAATTAGCTATTTTTTTTACAACTTAGATTTCCTACTATATTGTTCAGATCAAGGGTCAGAAAACCTTTTCTGTGCCAGATGGTAAATATTTTAGGCTTTGCAGGACAGTCTCTGTCACAAACACTCACTCTGCTATTTGAAGCGTGAAAGCAGTCATGACCACACATATACAAATGGGCATGTCTGTATCCCAGTAAAACTTTGTTAACAAACACCGGAAGTGGGCTGGGTCTGGCCGGTGAGCTGTAAGTTTGCTGATCCTGATTTACATGTTTTTCAGAATTTGCTCTGTCTGTTGGTTGACCCAGGCAGGATTGAGTAGCAGGCACATGGAACCAGAGCCAGGCTTCTAGTGTTTTCTCATGCAATTAGTTGACCATGCATGAACCTGAGAAAACTGGCATGGTCTGAGGGGTCAGAAACTGGGCCTGCCACATTCTAAAATAAGGGTTCTCATGTGGGGGCAATTGTCACCTCCAAGGGACACTGGGCACTGTTTGGAGATACTTTTGGTTGTTGAGATTGAGGACGGAGGTATGGTACTTGCTTGCATCTAGTGAGTGGAGGTTAGGGATGCTTCTCAACGCCCACGTGCACAGGACGACCCCACAGCAAAGAATGATCCAGCCTCAAATGTCCATAGTGCCGAGGCTGACAAACCACAATTCAAACATAATTATGATTTAGAGGGACTGCTTTTTGAGTTCCATCATATGGCTTTATAGGAAATGGCTTTTCTATACGTGAAGATGACAAAACATTTAACCCGTGCAAAAGTTATAGCAATAAAAAGTCACCATCTCCCACCTTGGGTTTCCAGCTCCTCACCCAGAAATCAGCTGCTTTTGATAGATCTGTGTTTATCTATCTAGAATTTTTTTAAAATTCGAACACAAATAGTACCATGCCCTACACATTATTGTGACTTTCCTCTTTTCATTTCCATATATTCGTTTCCTCAACCGCATAGTTGTTTATGAAATCATTTTCTGTTTAGTTCTTTTTTTCTTTTTTAACTTTTATTGGGGAACAATGTGTTTTTTCCAGGACCCAACTGCTCCAAGTCAAGTTGGTGTCCTTCAAACTTAGTTGTGGAGGGCGCAGCTCAGCTCCAAGCCCAGTCACTGTTTTCAATCTAGTTCCAGTGGGCGCAGCCTACCATCCCATGCAGGAATTGAACCGGAAAACTTGCTGTTAAGAGCAAGTGCTCAAGGGCTGGCCAAGTGGCATGTTGGTTAAGAGTTGGTTTGGAATGTCAGCTCTGAGCAGCAGAGCCCCCGTAGGATCCCACATGAGGGCCAGTGATGCTGCGCCCTCTACAGCTAAGGTGGTGAACAACAGCTCGACCTGGAGCTGGGCTGCCGTGAGTCGCAGGCGATGGCATAGGCTGCAGTGGAGCTGGCCGGCAGCTGGCATGCACTTTTGTGAGCTGCCGTGAGCCGCTGTGAGCGGCCGTCCAATGGCCGGCGAGTGACTGCTTCACCCGGGAAGAGCGCAATGATCACAATACCAACATGGGCTAGTGAAGCGACATCCTCCACATCTAGACTGAAGAACCAAAGGACAGCAACTTGTCTGTTCCCCTTCCCCATTGCTGTTCCCCTCCCCCAATTCCCCAATAAAATCTTTAAAAAAAAAGAGCACACGCTCTAACCAACTGAGCCATCTGGCAGCTCAGCTGCAGCTCAGCTCAAGTCGTCGTATTCAATCTCGTTGTGGAGGGCACACCTCACTGGCCTATGTGGGACTCAAACTGGCAACCCTGTTGCTCAGAACTCGCGCTCTAACCAACTGAGCCACCCAGCTACCCCTCTCTTTAGTTCTTAACATGACATTGTATTTGACATACCACCTGTTCATTTTGCAGTGCTCTGGAACCCTTGCTTAATTGAAGCATGCAGTACACCGGTGCCCATTTTAGATGGTGTAAGACATAATTTCACATTTTTAAACAGAGGCTAAAAGATGGAGGGACCTCTTGGGGAAGATGAACAGTCCAGAAGCTACTAGAGAAAGGAGGAGAAAGAGCTGAGGGCAGAACACATGTATGGCATGTATTCTAATATATTCTTACATCGTGAACACAGCAGTATTTATTGTATTAAACTCGGAAGAAAGGCTTATTTGCATGTTTTATAAAGAATGCCTCTCTTTTCCAGTTCTCTTTTAAATTTTATTCAAGTTGACGGCTAGGAATTTCCTAAGGTTTTCCAGCCTTCTCTACTACATAGCAAGAAGTTGAGTTTTGGAAGACAGTGATATTGTCCAGAAAGGTTGCCCACTTTCTGGCTTAGGTGTAGTGTCTTGGTGACTCTGCTGACTTCCTGGGATGCTCATTGGGCCCACAGAAAACAGTGGAATCTTCGGCAAAGGTGATCTGCAGTCCACGTTGCTGGAAGGGCACGGCACTGCTCCGCCAGACCTGGATCTCTCATCCATTAATGGTAAAGCATTCGTGTCACCCCTTCTTTTCCCAGCTGGGGGTTGCAGTGTGTCTCAGCGGGCTTCCGAAGTGTGCCCTTTTGACCTGAAAAATGCTTTTCTTGATCTTAGAGAAAAGTATGCTCAGAAAGACTCCACAATTAGAAAAAAAAATGTCAAAGAAAACCGAATCAACATCGTTTTCTGCCTCACGAAAAAAGAACCCAGTAAGTGTCTGAAATGACAGAGAAGCTACTCATGGGTTGGATAAATCTGATTTAAGTCCTGCCCTGTGCCAGGTGCCATGTGAGGCCTGGGACTCTAAAAACAAACAAGCCAGCCGTGCCTTTTAGGACAAAAATCAACATGCGTTCTTAGATCATTTGTAGTGTGTTTCTCCAAGTACACGTACAATAGATACAAAAGTGGGATCATGTGAAAAATGAGATTGGGGCCTTGTTTGCAGTGCCATGCTAGGGAAGGCGCTTGGCCGGGCCTTGTCCCCCAGTGTGAGGGTGTCCTGGCTGTGGTTTCACTGGGTGGGAGGCTTGAGTCCTGGTTCCAGTGTGGCACTGAATGGGCAGGTGCCCTCCAGCTGGCCCTTGACCACTCAGCCCTTGGGAGGGGGCCAGACACCATCCTCTTCCTTCTTACAGAGTGCCCCAAAAGACTAAATGAGATAGTGGAAACAGCAGGTGGTTATACAGTAGAGAATTAATTGAATTACTGAACTAATAAAAGTAGTATGAGTTAGGGTTGTTTTTCTCCCAGGGAAGAGGGCTGGATTTACACCAGTTCATTGGGGGACCAAGAGTATCTTCCCCTTTTCCTTAAGGATCTCTCCGAAGCAATGGAAATGATGGAATCCCAAACGTTACTCCTGACTCTACTGGCCATAAAGGTGAAAACAGCCGCGCTCACATGGTACATGGGTGGAAAGGTGGCTTCTGTCGGCCACAGGGATGGGAGTCCGCTCTGGCCTGAGCTCTTGTTCTGCACTTAACAGATGGAGAACGGTCTCGCTGCATTTGAAGAAAAGGCCGAAAAGAATTTATTAACGATGTGCCAAGAGAAAGAGAAGCTCCAGAAGAAGGTCCACCAGCTGAAGCGACAACTTCTCCTCCGTCAGAGGAAGCGGGAGCTGCTGGCCGTCCTCAATGCTCAGGTCGGTTGTGACCACAGCCTCTGGGCCACCTGTCCCAGCAGGGTCACCGTGGCAGGGATATTTGGAGGAAGCATTTACAATGGGTGTTGCTCCTCGCCTGGCTCTAAGTCTGTGCTTGGCTTTTGACACCACTGAGTATTGGTGTGTGACAATTTATAAGAGGACGAGCCTGTAATGTTAAGTACCAACCAGCAAGAGGGACCTGTCCCTTCAGCACACACATGCACATATTCTTCAGGCACCTTCAATTTGTGCCCAGTGACCTGAAGATGCACTCCAGGCCTGCCCAGGGGGCCAGGGGGCTGGTGGGAGGCACAGTCTTGGCGCCATGTGGTCAGTGCTGGGACAGAGGCATCCACACCTAAGAAGGCCATGGAGCAAACCCTTGGAACCTAGAAGGATGGAGTGGGGGATGTGGCTCCCCACGCAATGTCCTGGGGCTACCGTAACAAAGTCCCACAAATTGGGTGGCTTAAACAACTGGCACTTACCCTTTCTCAGTTCTGGAAGCCGGAAGTCTGAGATCAAGGTGTCAGCAGGATGGCTCCTGAGGGCCATGAGAGGCCTCTCTCCTTGGCTTGTAGGTGGCTGTCTTCTCCGTGTCTGTTCACTTGACGTTCTTCCTGTGTGCATGTCTGTCTCCAAATCTCCCCCTTTTACAAGAACACCAGGCATATTGATCAGGACCCACTTTCATGATCCCACTTTGATTCGATTCCCTTGGAAAAGACCCTGTCTTGCAACCAGATTATATTCTGAAGTGTTGGGGGTGGGGACCTCAACAGAGGAATTAGGGAGTTAGGGGGACATAGCTCAGCCCATAACAGCGTGCATATATGAGTGCCCTGTGGCCAGGCCCTGGGCTAAGAATGGGGTACCTGTCCTCGTGGAGTGGAATGAAAAGAAATGACAAATAATGAATTCTTACAAAGCCCCGTGATGCCCAGATAGCGTGTATGAGGGAAAAGTGGGTGGGTGGGGACTGCCTTGCAGAGGGCAGGCGTTTCAGCTCAATTCTCCAAAGCAGGAAGACTCAGCATTCTTGGGTCTGCTATGATTCCGGTTGAGGGCTCGCCCTGGAATGTGCTGGAAGGCGGATGCGTGTTCATGGTGAGGAGGTAGGCCAGAGTTAGGGGAGAGCCCACTGTACTCATGGAACCTCCCGGAGGATTTCCTAGATGATCCTGAAAGAACAGTCTGTGTCTTAATCACACACGTGCCGTCAGTGAAACTTCAGGGGTGGTGATTGCAGGGTCTCATCTCTCAGGCCCTCTCCCTCCTGCCTGCAGATCGAGATGCTCAGCCCCTACGAGGTTGTGGCTGAACGCTTTAAGGAGCAGTACAAGACGTTGGCGACGGCCCTGGACACCACGAGACATGAACTGCCCGTGAGATCAGTCTACCTGGACGGAGACAGGCAGCAGTTCTTAGGTAGGAGGAACCACCAGTGTGTGTTGGCACTTGTGTGCCCAGCACCTTTATCCCTTTCTGTCATCCTCACAAGCCTCTTAGGTAGATGGCACGTCCCCATCAAATGGCAGAGGATGCAGGGCCAGTGAGACTGCGGTTTGTCCAGGGTACATGCTGGGATTAGAACCCAGGCCTATGGGTTCCCCATTGATTTCCCACCCTGCTGAGAGGCATTCTTGGGGAGTGGCCTGCAATCCCCTGGCCTTGGGGGCGGTCTCTACAAGGTGCCTTGTTGGCTGGGGCAGTGACAGGGCCGCTGATCCACTGTCCTGCTTTCTATGCAGAGCCGTGGGGTCCCTTTCCTTTAGAGGGATCCCACCTAATCCTTCACTTGAAGAAATTGGCAGGTGTGAAAAGTGCTGTGCTTGACCTTAAAATTCTCTTTAGAACAGATATATTCCCAAAGCAAGTTTTCAGCTGCCCTAGAGTCTGATTATTTTTAAGCTCTCATGAGCTCTCATGAGTCTCTAACTACATTTTCTTGAGGCTGATGTAGTAAAACATTGCCACCTAAAATCAAGTCCAAAATCAAGGTGTGGGTGGGGCTGGTTCCTTCTGGAGGCTCTGAGGGAGAACCTGGCCCAGGCCTCTCTCCCGGCTCCTGGTATTGCTGGCCTTCCTTGGCTCCTGGCAGCATCACCCCAGTCTCTGCTTTCATCTTTACATGACCTGTCCCCTGAGCGCCTCTGTAGCTAAATTCCCCTCTTCTTAGAGGGGCACCAGTTAATTGGATTAGGTGCCACCCTATGACCTCATTCTAATTCAGTTACATCTATAAAGATCCCATTTCTAGTAAGGCCACACACACCATTGATTAGGACCTGAATATGTCTTTTGAGAGGACACAATTCAGACCACACATTGGGGTGGGGGAAAGGTGTGTTTGTGAGAACCCTTATGAGGTTCCCAAAATGTTATAATGTACCGTTGTGACTTGTGTAGATGTGTAGCTGGTAGATGGGACGTGTGCCAGGAGCAGAAATGCTCGTTTTCCTAGGGCAGCTGGGGTGCTGTGCAGTTGTAGGCAGCTCTCTGCTGGGGTGTGGGGTGTGGGAAGCTGGAACGGAGTGGGAACCACAGGATTGTTTGAAAGTTACTCTCTGCACAGGCTTTCTCCACCTTTAGCATTCATTTCTGTTGAGGACATAGGAGTGGCATTCTAGGTCTGTTCCCCCCACTGCCTGAATGGTAGACACGCCTGATCCACGGTCTCAGACCACCTTGACCTCAGGCAAAGGGGCACAGAGGTGGTACCAGGGCACAAATGTCTTCCTTCATGACTCTCTCTGCCTTTGAACTCTTCATGATTCCAGCATAACATGAGAGCGTTCCAGCGAAATGAGAGAAATCTTGTCAGCTACCCAGCTCGTGAGTGGGTTGCTTGGGGCACCTTGAAGCCCATGGCTGACGACCCTTTGTTCCCCCAGATGATTTGCAGCAGGAATTGACAACTACGCTCCATCTGCTGGGAGAACTTGAGATCGGCAGTTCAGATGAAAATGAGAAAGTGCTGAACCTGCTGAGTGAGCTCAAGGAAGTGACCCAGAAGAAGGATGTGGAGCTTCGAAGGTATTTCAGAACATGTCTTAAGAAAAAGATAGCCCCCGTCAGGCAGAGATGGGTCGTTGGCAGTTGTACTGTCTGGAGAGTGGGCAGCTCTGGTATTTGCAGAGGCCCAGGGTGCAAGGGTCCAGCCAGGCAGGGCGAGGGAGATGGGCAGAAAGCCTTCAGCCAACTATGAGTTCTCCATCAGCCCAAATAGAAAGGGGCTGATACTTTTATCCCTCATTCACTTCCTCAGACCAACAGCACTGCAGGCGCCCTTGGATCCGTCTATTCATGCTTTAAATGTTTCTTAGGGTAGGGGCTTCAGACGATCTTGTTGGAACTTCTTATTGAAGTGTAAGTACATATAGAAAAGGCGTAGATTGTAGCGGTACAGCTTGATGGGTTTCACCAATGTGTGCCCTTGTGGAACCAGCCCCAGGTCCAACGCAGCCCCCGGCCAGCCCCCCAGAGCCCCCTCGCTTGCTTCTCTTACTCTCCTCCGTGGATTTCTAACCATGGGGCTTTCCTCCACGTCTTCCAAAAAGAATCTTATTTTCTTCTCCTTTACAATGCTAAACATACTTCCTGAGATGCCTAAAATATTTGAAAGGTACTCATGAAAAACAACTGCCATCCACTGTGGCATTTCCTTTTGTATGTGCCCCGGGATGAAAGCAGCACACACCAGAGGGTTCTACATTGCAAGGGTCGCAGGTTCGAATGGTTAAACATGTTTAGTACCTGTTTCCCGCCAGCATTTGCATTGTGAGGGGGCTGGGATGTTGTCCCATTCACAGCTCTGTCATCCATTCCTGACACAGCATTGATGCTCCCCATATTTCTTGAACAAATGAATCTCTTCTTTCATGCCTGTGTGGTCCTGTGTTTGGGGGCGTCCCTGTTTGAGTTCTGTTCAGATGGAGCTTACTGACCCACACTTTTCCATGAGCACTCTCGAGTAGTAAGTCTGAACTGGCTGCCCTCACACTGCTGCCATGAAGGCAGAGACGCTTTGGCTTCATCCGAATCTTGGGCACAGAGGATGAAAATGAAAAAGCGTCATCCTTCCTGTTGTTCCCATAGGACCTTTGTCCAGGTGCAGGAACTCTCCGCCGGGGTGAATAAAGAGGCAGCCTTAATCAACCAGGAGGTCTGGGAAGAGGCCCAGGGCCCCGCGACCTCTCACCAGTGGTATTTCAGTGAGGAAGGCGCCTGCGGGGGAACTCAGGGAGAGGCAAGCTTCCCACTCCTCTCTGGCCTGACAAGCCACATGCACTGTGAATCCACACACAGGCTGTGTCCCCAGCCCAAATGAGGACATTCCTGCAAACCATCGGGAATAAAGCACATTCTGTGCCTCTTGTCCAGGGCACATCTGTGCCAGTGGTGCAGATATGCTATTCTGGAAACTCAAGCACTTTAGTCACTTAATTCTGCAGTGTACCTGTTTTTGTATGATAATCTTGTTTGATATTTAAAAAATAAAACTGTTTGGCAATTGAGCCTTGGCTTCTACATAAGGGGGGAGCAGAAGGTACGTGTTGTCTCACATTCTTCCAAACAGCTGGTTCTGAGCCTCGGAACCTCTGAGACATTATGAGTATTACACTTTCAAGATGATTCCTGTCTTTCACTCCCAGGGCTGTTGTATTTAATATCTGACAGCAAGTTAGCAGTTGGTCCTTAAATGGAAATTCCCCGTCCAGTCCAGTATCCCAGTAGCGGTCACTGGGAGGTACCTGCGGGCTTTTGCCATAGCTGCCATCTACTCCACACTGGACTCTGTGGCAGAGAGTTTGCCCAGCCAGCTCTCTAGCTCCGGTCTGCACCACGTAGGCTCCGGCAACCCTAGTGGTTCCCATGGACATGCCTCCATTGGCTTTTACCGGTTCCCATGGTCATGCCTTCTGCGTTACGATACCAGGGAGCGTTATGACACCAGGGAGGGGAGGTGCCCACAGTGAGACGCAGTATCCATCCCCATCATGCATTTCCAGAAGAGAGATGTATCCACTTGATCTAAATAGAGCCTGTTCAAACAGGCACACTTTTGTTCAACTTCCAACTTCATCTCACCAGTCCTTACACTCCTAACTGGGGCCTCCTGGGGACTTGGTCAGCTGGTTTGGATTTAGTTTCAGGTAGGAGAGGCAGTCCCCAGTCACACACGATAGCCATTCTCACAAAACATGCAGGTCAAGGGACACAAACTCTTTCCATCAGGCTAGTTTCAACTTCCAGTTTCGATCCATACTACTAACCCTTTCATTTCCATGTTCTGCAAGTCCACTGAAGCCCTCATTAGGGATCTCCATGGAACTCCTGTATCAGAGTCCCAGAAACTTCCCCACGCCCTGGCCAGTCCCAGAAACTACCCCCACCCCCACCACCATTGTGTATAAAAAGCTTTGGGTCCACAGAAGGGGATACCCCAGGCACTCTGGTTCTTTTGTCAACATTATCTTAATTATTCCAATTATGCCCCCAAGCAATTCCAGGCTATAATCTCTGCCTTCACCAAGGAGTGCCCTTGTGGAACCAGTCCCCCAGAGCTACTTCGTTTGCTTCTCTTACTCTCCTCTGGGGGATTTCTAACCATGGGGCTTTCCTCCATATCTTCCAAAAAGAATCTTGTTTTCTTCTTTACAATGCTAAACATACTAACTGAGATGCCTAAAATATTTGAAAGGTACTCATGAAAAGCAACTGCCATCTACTGTTACAATCTCTGCCTTTTAGCTTTTAAAAATTCACCAAACGGATAAAAGCAGCAGATTGTTTAGGGTCCTTGAGTGTTCAGGGACCAGCAGGGGCCTCCTACCCCTCCCACGCTTCCACAGTGCTGTATTTAGACCTTTGCGTCAACCTTGTCAAAATGGGCAGTGGTATATTGCATGCTTCAATTAAGCAAGGGCACCAGAGTGCTGCAAAATGAGTGTGTCAGATATACTCTGTCATGCTGGGGACCCAACTTAAAACTAAGAGATCACCTGGAAGGATTGCCACGATTTTTTTCTTTTTTTAACGATTTGTATTAACATATAGCTAACATACAATATTATATTAGTTTTAGGCGTATACCACAAAGAAATGATCACCATGATAAGTCCAGCAACCATCTGACACCATACAATGCTATCACAATATTATTGATTATATTTCCTATGCTGTACATTACAGCTCCATGACTTTATACCTGGAAATTTGAACCTTTTCACACACACCCCTTTTTTAATTTTTCTATTACATTTGACATTCAATATTACTTTATATTAATTTCAGGTGTATAGCATAGTGGTTAGACATTGATATAATTTACAAAGTGATTCCCCTGACTAGTCTAGTACCCACCTGGCACTATACATAGTTATTACCATATTGACTATATTCCCTATGCTTTACATCTCCATGACTATTTTGTAACTATAAATTTGTATTTCTTAATCCCTTTTTTCACCTTGCCCCCAACTCCCCTTCAGTCTATCACCCCGATAAATCTAGTACTCATCTGACACCATACACAGTTATTATAATATTATTGACTATATGAAATGTGATAAAAAACAGTGAATGTTTAAATTAAAAAAAATTATTACAGTAAAAGACACATTGCCATTAATCCCCCTCAAAATACTCCCCCTCACTTCAAACACATTTATCCCATCATCCTTGCCACTTTCTGAAGCAGTTATAGAAATCCGCTTTCGTGAGTGTCTTTAGTTGCCCTGTCGTGGCTGCCTCGATATCCTGAATCGATTCAAAACGTTTATCATTCCTGGTTATTTTGACTTTAGGGAAGAGCCAGAAGTCACACAGTGCCAGATCCAGTGAATAAGGTGGATGAGGACACACCATAATGTTTTTGACAGAAATTGCTGTATACCAGAAGTGATGTGTGACACGGAGAGTTGTCATGATGGAGGATGATTTATGGCACACTTTAAAACACATCTCTCAACCATAGCTCACACCCGACTGACCGCACTGAACAAGTTGAAACTTGTCACACACCATTACTAAGGTTCACATGCCGCTTCCTGTATTGAAGATCCCTGCCTTTCCATTGGATGGCACTCAGCAGCTGCATTCACCGTATTTTGTGATCACAACGGAAAGGCTCTGTGTCACACATCGCTTCTGGTACAGCAGTTTCTGTCAAGACATTACATACAGTTTGAGCTCTGAGCAACAGCGGTTTGATGCCCGGCCCGAGCTGAGCTGCTGCTGAGCTGCCAACAGGTGGCAGGATGGCTCAGCTAAAAAAAACCAAAACAACAATAAGCAAAAAAACACAGATTAAAAAAACAAAACAAACAAAAGCATTACGGTGTGTCCTCATCCACCTTATTCACTGGATCTGGAACCATGTGATTCCTGTCTCTTCCCCAAAGTAAAAATGACCACGAGAGGTTAACGTTTTGAATCGATTCAGGACATCAAGGCAGCCATGACAGCGCAGCTAAAGACACGAAAATGGACTTCCAGAACTGCTTCAGAAAGTGGCAGGAATGATGGGATAAGCGTGTTGGAAACGAGAGGAAGTATTTTGAGGGGGATTAATGGCAATGTGTCTTTTATTGTAATAAGTTTTTAAATTTAAATATTCACCATATTTTTTTATCATACCTCATATTCCTTATGCTGTACTTTACATCCCCATGACTACTTTGTGACTCAATTTGTACTTTTTTAAAAAAATTTTTTATTGTTAGTTTCAGGTGTACAGAACAATGCAATAGTTATCCTTTTCACCCTCACAAAGTAACAACCCCCCTCCCCCCATCTATTGCCCTCCCCCCCCACATCATGCTTGTCTATTACAATTCCATTGATTCCATTCCCACTCTCTACTCCATGTCCCGTGACTGTATGTATGTATAATTATAGTTGACATACAATATTATTCAACATCAGCTTCAGAAATACAGCAGTTTGTACTTCTTAAACCCTTCCCTTTTTTACCCATCCTTTCAACCCCCCCTCCCATCTGGCAACCATCAAAATGTTCTCTGTATCTGAGTGTTCAAAATAATGTGTAGGGTACAGAACAATTTGTTTTTAAATTTTCTAAAAACTTGGAAAAATAAATAAGAATGTGCTGAGAAAAGCTGTCTCTAGGGTGGGGGTGGGCTGGGGACCCTGAGGTGGGCGGAATGCTTGCTTGTTATTCTTGTTGCATTTCACATTCCTTTAACATTTTGGTCAAATACTTTCTCATCTGCATGCATCACATTTTCACTAAGAAATTTATACAACGGAACTTGAGCAAACATGCTTTCTAAATTGTCGTGCTTGTGTTTAAGCCGTGGTGTCTCAACCTCGGTACTGTTGATGTTTGTAGCCAGATCATTCTTTGCAGTGGGGGCAGTCCTGTGCATTGAGGGTATTGAGCTGCGTCCCTGGCCTCTACCCACCAGAGGCCAGTAGCACTCCCCCTCCCCCACCCCACCCCCAATCACAAACGTGTCCAGATATTGCCCAGTGACCCTGGGGGTTAGAATTGCTCTGTGTGAGAACCCCTATGGCCCTTCAGGCCCATTCTCTGGCTCTCACCTCAGCCACCTCATCTTTCTCAGCTTCATTCATTGACTTCAACCCAATTTCTGAAGAAAAAACTAGAAGGCAGCTTCTCAACCATGACTGGACTGAGAATTCACACAAATTCTGACAAGGATATAAACCAGGGCTGCCAAACTACAGACCTCGAGCCAAATCTGGCCTGCTTTCTCTGTGCGTAAAGTTTTACTGGCATATAGCCTCACCCATCCGGTTACATGTGTCATTGACAGCTTTCATGCTGTAAACAGTTGAGTCTTTAGGGACCATCTGTCCTGCAAAGCCTAAAAGCCTTACTATCTGGTTCAGAAGAGGTTTGCTGACCCTTGATCTGAACAATAAAGTTGGAAATCTAACTTGTAAAAGAACATATTTTTCTCTGGGTCTCAAAACTGTCACCATTTTGAACAAGGAGGTGTGGGCTGAGAAACAGTTTTGCTTTTTGTAGGCTACTTTCATGCAAAAGAAGGGCTTCCCAGTCTTGCTGGAGAGGTGGGCCTTTGAGGCATTGGACAAAGTGCTACAGTGGGAGGGTCCTTTCTAGGTTTCTAAAATGAGCACACTGACTAGAACTGAACACCAAATATGCCAAAAGCAATGGTCTGAGTTGCAGATCATGAGAGAACTTCCCCTTCCTGGTGTACATTTTCCATTTTTTATACTAAACGTGTCACTTCTACATTAAAAAAAACTATGTTGTTTTTTTTTAAAGATTTTTTTTTTTTTAA